GAATGTCCTGCATGTAAAACTTCAGGATTATTTAGGTAAGGGGGAAGGGGTGAATGGTGAGGTTGTGTGCTCATTACTTGCCCATTTCTCAATTCATGGTTCTCTGTGAATATCACTTTAAAAGTTCCCACTTTCCTGGTCCTGAGCTCTCATGAACAAACATCCACATCCATACTACTCTCATCTCCTCATCTGACCCAGGGAAGGGTTTTGTGTAGGTGCTGTAGAACCAGGTGATTGATTTCCTTCCAAGCCCACAGAACTGTGGTTTAGATTTAAAAGGAAGAAGGAGATGAGTAAGTGCAAGTAATTGAAGCTGGGAGAAAGTGATTACTGTCCTTGGCACTATCTTCATAGACAGATTGTTCCTTTTTCTGTTGGGAAAAAAAAAAGAGACCACTTTTGAGAAGGTTCCTTTTAGATTGACACCATTTAAATTGGACCCTTCCTTTTCAGATGTTCTGAGATCCTTCTATCAGCAATTCTTTTTCAGCACTAATTTCTCCCTGGGAACTTGTGGTAGTTTTTTTGTCATAGAACCCCACAGAAGTGAGACATCCAGAGGAGCGTTTCACCTGAGCTGCTTTTGGGGCTGGGAAAACAGGAGGAGCAGGACTTGGCAACTGCTTTACACAGCCCCACGTAGCACTGATGCAGAATTTGTGATAAGCTGTCAATATCTGTCAAGACAGGAATGAAAAGCTTGTAGCTTAATAGGCTGGGGATGCAGGGAAATAAATGGTTTCTGTGCTTCAGCATATTCACTTGGAAGGTATTCTTGTTGGGAATAATGTGAGGAAGGAGCAGTGCTCATTCCATTAGCAGTTATCTCAGGCACACAATTGCTGTGATGAGGCATCTCCGTGTGAGGACACATCCTTACAGCTGAAATCTATACCTCCCTCCCAGATTGCCTCAGAAGCATGAAATTAAAACAGCAGAGCCATTCAGGACAGAGAGGAAAACTTTACACAGCTCGGACTGCAGGAGAACATTGGGGGGGGGGTCTGAATATCATTCCTGCCCCAGAATTTCTCCAGAATCAGTGTAATTTTGTGAAACAGGCCACATGATTTTTCTTTCAATGGCATAAACCACAGGTTTACAGCCTATCCAAAGGCATTTTTCGTTTCCACAGTACCCTGCTAAGCTGGCTAACAAATTCTTGCTGCTTTGGGTATGTTAATATATGTAGTATAAGAACATAAGCTGTTAAATACAGCTCAGATGCTGAAGCTGAACGATGCGTAGCTACTACTCAGTCTAAAAAATTATTTGAAAAATGGGAGGTAATAAATCCATTCTGTTTGTATTTCTTCCTCTTGGCTTCTTATGAAGAGAAAAACACAACAGATTTTATGCTGAACAGATGCAGGTAATAAGCCTGAAGCTTTGTGTTCCATCTATTTAATAAATTATACTGTGGGTGGGGGTGTTTGCATACTTCTGAATTATTCACTGCAGCATTTTAGATCATCTAGCTTCCTATCTGATTTCTAAACCCCCTCTCAATAAGTTGATATTGCAACCACAAACATTCAGCCTGTTAAGAAAAGGGTGATTTTAAGATGAAGAAGGAAGGGAACAAAGCAGCTGCCGTTCCTTTTGAATTGGAAGAACAATTGAAGCTAATGTGTTGTTCTCACACACCCCAGAACTGTCTTGTGGAACCTCAGCTCTTACCAGCTGCATATCTCCAGTTACTTGACTTAACAGAGCTGAAGATCAAGCCCTAGTTAATCCTGGGATCTAAAGTGACAGAAGATTTTGAAACAACCAACTGAAAACAGGATTAATAGGCTTGGCTTGGAGAAAAAGTCATAAGTGATGGAGAGGTGGCTTCTCTGATTGAACATAGAGCTAGTAGTGATGGTAAGAAACAAAATGAGTCGTCCTTACTCAATGTGCTGAGATTTCTCATGCCCTTGCTGGCTTTTTGTTGACATTTCTATATACTAGGAGATACAGAATGGGATGAAGGAAAGAACTATTCAACCAACAGTAGGTCAGCCTTTGTATTTCAGTGTCTGGCTTTTATTTTGACATTGTAAATATCACTGAAATGAATGCAAGTGTTTGAACAGCTGGAGAAAAGGTAGATGGGTCTTGATGCTTTCTGTGCTTGCCAGGTATTTCTCCAAGTATACTCTGCCTGTGCTGTAACCTGGGGGTGAAGAGAGGAGGTGCAGCCCTGTGCTGAAGTTCTACTTGCAAAAGGCACTGTAAAACTGGAGCTGTAGGGTTCCTTGGTAACAACTTCCCCACAGCTTTCCCAGGGGAATGTACCTCATGGCAAGGCTTCGTGGTGTTCCCCAGGACTTGCACTTTACCCCCAAAATGAAGGTGGTTTCATGCTGGGTTTGGGGTGGGCTGGGAGGAGGGCATTTGTGTGTCTGCCAGACTCAGTCTCTCTTAAAATGCACTTTCTGGAATGCTTGAAAACTGTAGGAAGGGACATTTTCTTCTCCCAGGAGCCAAGGTCTCTTGGGCTTGTGATGTGTGTGAAGCAGTCCTGTACTGATTTTAAATGCTCTGACTGGTAAATGTATCACACTGCCAGGTTGAGTTGGGGAAATAACCATGAAGGGATTTTGTTTATCATTAGATGAACAGGTAGAAGTTGAAAAACAAGCAACCAAAACCAAACCAAACCAGAAAAAATCCCAAAACACACAAAAAAAACCCCCACAACCAAAAAACCTCCCCAAAACCCAAAACACCACACACACAAAGAAAACCAAACCCAACCTAAACCTTTAAGATGATGGGAAGTTGAAAAACAACCAACCAAAACCAAACCAAACCAGAAAGAATCCCAAAACACACAAAAAAAACACAACCAGAAAACCTCCCCAAAACACCACACACAAAAAAACTCCCAAAAACCCAACCTAAACCTTTAAGATGATGAGATTTTGGAAAACACAACTCAGTAAGCCTTTGTTTTTCCCACCCTAGACTACTGCCCATCTGAAATATTTACTGCATGGATATTTCCATGTAAAATCTGGGATTCCAGACACCCTCTTGATTCCCTCTTGCAAAATGATGAGCCTGTGGTTGTTTTGCTTGTACACCAGTTCCCCTAAGCTGGAGATATGAAGTGAACTGGTTGCAAATATCATCTTGAGCCCAAAGTCTTTGGCTACTTCTAAAGTTGCATCTTAATGTATAATTTCTGCTTTCTAATTTTTCTAATCTTTCATGAGACCATGAGTTATTGACTGACTAAAATAATTTATCATGCATCTAAAGGTAAGATGGGCAAAGAGGAGACCTTCTTGCAGTCTTTCTGTACTTAAAGGAGGCCTATAAGAAAGATGGGGACAGTTTTTTTAGCAGGGCCTCTTGTGGTGGGACAACAGGTGATGGTTTGAAACTAAAAGAAGGGAGATTAGACTAGAAAGAAATTTTTTACAGTGATGGTGTTGAGCCCCTGGCCCAGGTTGCCCAGAGAGGTGGTCGCTGCCCCATCCCTGGAACCATCCCAGGGGAGGTTGGATGGGGCTCTGAGCACCCTGCTCTAGCTGCAGATGTCCCTGCTCCCTGCAGGGGGTTGGACCAGATGACCTTGAAAGGTCCCTTCCCACCCCAAACATTCTGTGATCCTATGAAGACGGTGGAATCTCATGTTTCTGCAGCTTGATGGCCTGGCAGACTTGAACAAGAAGAAAAATAGTAAGACTCATGCTTTTGTCAGTGAGGTTGTGGGTCAGACCTTGAGCACGCAGCAGAATCAAAGTGATGGAAGGAAAGAATCTCTGCTGATCTTTGCTCCTCAGTTTTCTGCTCGTAAATGCACCTCTCAAATCTGTCACCTGGGTCTTGCAGAAGAGAGATGCCATCACCAGTCCACTAGGGAAATCTTTCTTCTGTGTCAGGAGGATGAGTGGAGCTGCAGATACTGCAAAGGTGGTGCTGATAAAAGAGCCTAGCAGAAGATAGGCATTTTTTGATGGTTGCACACTCCTGGGTCTATGTTTTTCTGAGCACTTTCTGTGGTGGTTTCAAGCCTGTCTGTAGCCAGGCAATATGTCTAAACCATGAACTGTATGCAACTTATTCAAATGTACATTTATTTTCCATCCAGCTAAAAGCTGGACTGGGTTAATGAATATTTTGCACAAATGTAGTTGTTCATGTAGGGTATGAAACTGAACATTTAAAATTTGCAGGTTTGTGTAGAAGCTAACAAGTTTTGGGTATATTTGGTCGTATATGGTTCATTCATTAATTCCATAGTTAAAGTTCATAGATTCAGAATGTAACAAAAAAGAAATTACCTGAATTCCACAAGGTAAATCTGTTTAATTTCATACACTTTTCCCTGAGGCCCTTTGTGTTCAGGAGGCCACAAGATCCAATAGACTTGATAGAGCTTTGAAATCCAGTAATTTTTTCTCCTTTTTGTGGTGTATTTGAAATCATTCCACAGCATTTGTACAAAGAGGTGTTTTGGTGACTGCATGTACATCTGGATTCTCATGAGTATAGTCCTTTCAGTCCATAGTACCACCAAGAAGCCTGTCTGCCATGAAAGACTTGGAGATCTCTGATTCTAAACCACTACATCTTTGGGAAACTCCTGCCCATAGCTACACAGTGAATGACTGAGGTGTCAACCTCATGGTGTTGGCAAGGAAAAACTTCCCTGTGAGGGTGGCAGAGCCTGGAGCAGCTGCCCAGAGAGGCTGTGGAGTCTCCTGCTCTGGAGAGATTCCAAACCCACCTGGATGTGATCCTGAGCACCCTGCTGGAGCAGGGGGGTTGGATGAGGTGATCCCCAGAGATCTCTTCCAACCCCCACCATTCAGAGGGTCTGTGATTTGGCTTTAAAGTTCTCAGAGGCATGGACCATTTCCCTGCTAAGAGTTCTCTGCTGGGTGAGCAGAGCTGTGTTTTGGACTCCTTGGCACAGCAAGCTAAGACCAAGCACATCACTGGGGAGCTGAGAGCTGTTGCAGAGATGCTAACTGAGGGATCTTCTTGTCTTTCTGCAGAATCATGTGAACCCAGCAATGGATTTTACACAGACTCCTCCAGGAATGCTGGCCCTTGACAACATGCTGTACTTTGCTAAACATCACCAGGATGCTTATATAAGGGTAAGGCTGCTGCTTGACTTTGAGATCTGTGCTGTTGCCTGTCCTCAGTCCTTTGTCCTGTCTAACAATTGACTTGGAAGAGGAGGTTCAGAATCCTGATATCATCAACAACAAACTCTAGGAAGGCAAACTCCATAACACCAAAACGTGACATAAATCTGAGAAAGCTTTGGGAGGAAGCTGTACAGTTGTCCAGGCTGTTACTGCTGTGTCAAATATTATAGATACTACCTTCTTCTTAGGCTTGAAAAGAGAAGGGAGATGAGCTTGTGCCTTTTTCAGGTGCATGATGGATGTCCAGTAACTCAGAGATGAGTAATTGTGCAGAATTCTCTGCCCTGCTCTAAGTTGACCAGAAACTAGGGTTTTCTGTGGAAAGGAGGCTTTTGGTGAGCAAATGCCTTCATGAGTGGCTGAGTTGGCAGTGTCCTGAGAAATAAGATGCTCCCACTAAAACTAGTAGGTGAGGGGAGAAAAATAGGTAAAAAGCATCATGATTCACTTGTACAACCTGTTCCTGCTCCCTGCCCACCCCACTTCCTACATTTATTTCAAGGGTTTAAAGCACATGGTGTTGCATCCTTACAAAAAGAGGAAGAAAGCTGAATAATACCTGTCTCTGAATAGAACTTTCTCAGAGTTTTATTGAAACCAAGTGTTTGCCAAGCATAATCCTAAGTAGCACAAATGGGAGGACAGTCTAGAAAGTCAGTGTCTTGGGACAGTAGAAATGGTTTAAATCCCCCAGAAAATCCCTGCAGACCTGCCTGAAGAAGGTTGTATACAGCAAGGAGACAGTAGACATGCAAATCATTTCTACTAAAATAGTAAAGAGTGAACTTCTGATATGAATTATCATCTAGTTTTTGCTCAAATTAACTTACTGTCAAAGCTCTAATAGGTTTGTGAAGGGCCTGCTGATATCCAGGCCAGCTTGGTCCATGGAGATCATAGACCACAGGGTGGTAAGATCTGCCTTTTAAATGTGCATTTCTCCTCACTCTGACTCTAGCTGTTAAAAGAAGCTGTGGTGGTTTAAAAAGAGAATTGGTTAGTGTTTCTCATTAAAATTTGGTAAGACCTGGGCTTGGGTTATTTTGTAGGCTTCTTTTGAAAATTATCAGTTTAGAAAATATACTTGGAAGAGGAAGCCCGTGCTCCCAAATGACAGTCATGTTTTAAAGAAGTCTGAAAGAGTTTCAAGAGGACTGGATTCTGTTCAAGTAGAGCTTTCATTGACATCTCTTAATTTTTCTCTCACTCTTCCTTTTCACGTTGCAAATGTTGTCTTAAAAATTGAGTTCAGTGTAGCATGTAATTAGCTACTCCTCAGATAAGACTTTGCTGCTGGCTCTGTAGTAATAATGCAGCATTTTTGCTGCTGCACTACTGAGAATTTCTGCTGTTATTTTGAAGTGCCTGTTCTTGTATGGTTCCTCTTAGGAGAGGGTTTGGGTGCCTCATGTTCCTGCATGAGGAAGAATACACACACACTAGAAATGCTGTGCTGGGGTGGTTTTGGGTTAAGTTGTTGGCCCAAAGCTGCTTTGGGAACTCTCAACCCATCTTGGGAGTAGGGTAGCCTCACAGTGGTGGCTCACTGAAAGGTGGTGGTCCACCTTGTCATGTTAACATGCTGAACACTTCTGACATGACCAGTGTTGTGCAACTCCTCCAGCAGGGCTAGTCTTTGATCACAGAAGACACCTTTCTATCTTTTCATCTCCTTGACTTACTAGGTTACATGCAGTAGTTTCCTGTCACCCCTGACCTACCTTTTTCTTCTCATTTTGAGTTCCTTATTCCACATCTAACATTACTTTTCTTTTGTGGCCTTTGGCTCCCAAAGCTCTCACCACTCCAGCTTGCTCTGCCTGTACAGCCTGTTGTCCTTGCCTATTTCTTCACATGGATTTCTACTCCAGCACCCTAGCAAAAACTCAGTGATGTTAAGTTTCCACAAAGACATTGTTAGCTAGACAAATAATACTTAAATTCTCAACAGTTTGACAGGAGCTGCTCTCTTTTTTTCCATTGTTGATAGAAGGAATTACATTTGTTCCTAGGAGGAGAGGTTTTCAGTTTGACCCTCTGCAATACAGTCAGTTGCTGTCCCATGGGTTAACTACTAAGCCCCCAAACTTACCTGTGCTGGGCAGGAGGTAAAAATGGAAGTTGGAAACCAGAGATGGTTTGAAATGAACTTGGAAAGTGTGAAGTATCTCCTGACAGAATGTGGTGTATGAAGCAAAGACACTCTAAAGAACTCGTGATGCTTTCATGGAGTGTGTTAGCAGTGCTACACTTTTAATAGGCAGCACAAATCATTGAATTATAGAATTGTTCAGGTTGGAAGAGACCTTTAAGATCATCGAGTCAGACCTGCTACTTTCTTAGGATGCCCCAGCTGCATGGCCCCTGGCTAGGAATCTTCTGGTGTTACTGAGAAAAATGAATAAAGAAAAGTTCAAAGACAGGCAATAAATACTCTCTGCCCTTTTCATTCCTTGTTCTGCCTGTCATAAGTGCTACTACTTAGAAATAATTTGTGTAATAAATGGACTAGTTAGGTGAGAAGGATGTCTGGAACTGAAGTGCCTTTCAGGGAGGTGGCAGCAGGGCTTGAAAACCAACAGCAAACAGAAGCACTCACAGGAAGAGTTAATAGGATGGCAGTGTGCTGAAGAACATGGGTATGGAGGCAGTGGGTAGCTGCATCCTGGAAGCAGGAAGCATTTCAGGGTGAAAACCTGCCTGCCACAGGGTGAACAGGGAAACAAAAATAACCAAACTCATTTTCCCTGATTGATTCTTTTTTGCCTGCTTCCCCACTGTCCATTTCCCCCACTCACCTTCTTCCCATTGGATACTTACTCCTGAAATTACAGTCATGTGTTTTCTTGTTGTCTGCAAATAAACACTGTACTTTTTCTTTCTTTAAACTTTGAGTTAATTGGTTGTGACTCTCAGCTTTTTGTTTACAATACAACATGACTGGAGCCTCCAGAAGAAAGGTGGTTTATTGGAGTGGAAAAAAAACCCAACATGTTTTCTTTGATTGTGCCGTGTCCTTAGCTATAATTTGGATTTTGAAAGAAGTTTCCTACTGAATTAGCTTCTCATTGAGTTTGCTTTTCCTCTTCTTTTTTATTAATTGTCTGATGCTATCAGTGACTGATGGATACAGCATTTTTTTCATGTTCCACTTAAATAATCAATTGCTGTCATCAGAGGCATTGCTTTTAAGAGGTGATGACATAACACGTGGAATGCATTTGGTGGAACTAATGTTGAGTCTCTGCAAGAAATTCTAAAATTTTCCACAGGAAATAATTGGCAGCTTCCCAAGCTACATAATTATAGGACAGTCGGAGTGTATAATTAAAGTTAACAGTGAAGAAAATGATTGGAATAAAGCTTTGTGACAGATAATCTCTTTTTTTGTTCTTTTGGAGCAGACAAGTCGTGTGTCGTCGTCACCCCCCCACCCCACACCACCATCCAA